ACACACACACACACACACACACACACAAAGAATACACGACCCCTAAAAATCCATATTTAAAACACCAGGACTTCGCCTTCATAAAAGAAATTAATAATTCGTCCCTTTTCTTTCTTTGCTTCTCACTTTTATACCAGTCTGTCCCAACTTCTGTCTCGAAAATTTAGATTTTGTTGAAATTTGAAAAAACTACACGAATCGATAATCTTTCGTTGGAGTTGAGAAACTAATTTTCTCAAATAATCGTAAATTCATGGTTAACAGACATGAGAAAAAGTAATGTTCGATTAATGCAATACTAGAGAAATCTAACTTTATCATGTGTTTGAATTTGCCGCTGATTGCTGTAGGTGGATATATAGAAGCGCAAGAACAGCATGCTTTCGACAATCGTCAACGAGATACGTCGGTCCACGCAATGACGTCAGAGGCTGGTCCAATCCTGTCGAATACGTTCGTGGCCCGTTCTCACCCTATTGAACGAGAGAGAAAGAGTGACGCGATATATGCGTATATAAAGTAAGCTAAACAAAGACAGAACAATATATATGTATATCGACAAAGAGAAAAGAGACAGAGAAAGAGAGTCGCAGAGGGATGCAAGAACCAGCAAATAAGAGCACAGTCCGACAAATAGAAGGAGAAGACAGTTCGAGTTCCGCTCTCCTGCTCTTATGAGACGTACACGCCGATTCGAGCTTTGCGATATTGTTGCCAAAATTGTTCGTTACAATGTTCAGAATATTTCTAATATTGCGATCATTGAAACAAATCTCGATTTTCTATTATGCATAACACTTACGTGTACAAATATATAGAAATATATTCTTCTCTCGCTGGATAAATTATCTTTCGAGCAAAAGAACGAAAGAGGTTATGGAAGGACGGGAAAAAAAAGTGTCCAAACATATATGTATTTTCTATTCTATTCGAATACTTAATTTCCGAAATCACAACTTCATTAAATGTTACAGCTTTGACTAACAAATCGATAAATAATCGAACCGTGTTTTATATTTTTATCGTCCATAAATTATGAAAGATTCAATGCTTGTTAAACGATAGAATTTAGAGTTTCAAGTAAAACTTCCGTCTTTTGAACTTCATTGCATATTTATCGACCAGAGACAGTAATAAATGGACTTACAAATTAGTTCTCTCTACAAAATTGTTTACTGCCATTGAAAACTAAAATGTCAATCATTGAAAGTCAAATAGGTATGAGAACGATGCAAGTGCTCCATTCGAAAATTACACTAGTAATAAATTACAATAATAAAGTAAACTAATTAATGCATACTTAATATACACATGCCATATCCAAAAAATTTAATTATTGAAATTATTGAAATTAATTGATAAAATAAAAATATTAGATTAATAAAAATATTGAAATTATTGAAATTAATTGATAAAATAAAAATATTAGATTATAGAATAGAATATTATAATTACGAAATTATCGTAATATTCATGAAATATTATTTCATTCTTTGATTTATTAATTAGTGAAAATATTTAGATATAAGTTCATTTTTAAGAAAGCTTTCATGTACATATATAAAATGCATTTAATTATAAAAATTAAGCACTATTATACAAATTTTGAAAGAACATTTACAACAGTATTCATTTAGATTTATATAATAATTATATAATTTTTTTGCTGAAAACATTAGAAAGCACCTGTTATCTAAAAACTATAAATTATTTATAATATCTATTGTTTAATAATCTTTTTCTATTGTTTAATTATTTATTTTAATATTTAGAAAATTGTATTTTATTATTTTATGTAATAATATATTCTAATATATTATTTACTTTTTATCTAAAACTTTTTTATACAATTAATATAATTATATTTGATATATATTTGACATTATACATTTTTTTTTTTTCAAATTTCAAATGTAAATAAATATTACCTGATGAAAATCAATAATATTAGCCAGCATATAAGTGCATAAAAATTATATGATTGGACAATTGATTAAATTTAAAATAGAATTAATATGTATACATAATTTAAAATTTAATTTGTATATATATTATTTAATTTAAAATTTATTGTAACAATATGAACTATTTTTACAATATTTAATTTAAAATTTATTGTAACAATATGAACTATAGTATGTATATTGTAACAATAACAAGATATTTAAATTGTTATAATATATGGTTAATTTAAGTTACATTCAAATTAAATTATGTATAAAAATTTATTTCTAAATAATACTGCACTGTATTGTAGAATTCAATAAGTATTCTTATATATATATATATATAATACATATATATATATATAATACATAT